TTTTAGTACCATAGATACCCTACAATATATCGGAATTAGCTGAAAAATTTAAGACTCGGTAAAATCCCTCCTTATTCAAAACTCTGTTGTAATCAAAAGAACTCAGTTCTGCTAATGACCCTCTAGAGCATGGATCTTCTGTACATGTCCATGTGTGGCATATGATAAACTTTCTGGTATGTGTGCACTGAAGTACATGAGTTCTCTTCCCCTCAGCAATGTATGATATCTAGCTTTTTTGCAGGATGCATAAAAATGGGTTGCTTTGTGTTCAGATTGGTCCATTTTCTTATTGTAAAGAACAGGTTTTTAAAAATCTCTCCAACTAACCCTTGCTCCAGTGATTCACACTTAAAGGAGGTAAAGATTAAGCTGACTTAAGCAAATGTCTCAAGTATAATATGCCTTGTAAGACACAGAATGAAAAGTGTAGGCACAGGAATGGAAACCACCTGTATTACACTGCGCCCCCCCTTACCATTTGTAAACTTAATGTTTCTGAATACATCATGAGTTGTACAATGTTTGTGGATAAATACACAATCAGATCTTAGAGAAAATTAATTATATCCAACTAAAATTAAGCAAACACAAAATTTAAAGATGAAACAATTTTGAACCATATATTTTATTAAAAATTCAACCAACATAAAACCTTTTTTGTCTAAACAAATATGAATTTGTGTGTTTGTACAAAACAATTTGTTTTCACATTTCAAAGACTGATTTTGCATTTCCTGTCTGGCTCTTCCAGAGTTCCATGTGTAAGGGAACTAGAAAAGAAGGGACTACCTTTAAATTTCATTTGATTTAAGTAAACAGGCGACTAAACCCAATCAGACATTCTTGTGATGAATGTTTCAAACCATTGTAGAGCTTGGCTCTCCTGGTTCTTTACCAGGGATGCTGGGTCCCCATTGCTAAGCCTCAGGGGTCACCTCTTTTCTTTCTCTGTTTTTAAATTCTCTTTTGTTTCATATTTCCTGTTGATTTTTTAAAGCATCTCAAAAATCACCCAGCTGTTGTTTCAGAACTTTTCCACAACCTCCAGACTCAACCCAAAAGCTGTCTCTGTCACCAGATGACTGTGCCCCCTCCCACAGGAGCACCAAGGGGGCTGAGTCTGCACTTAGACCTCACGTACTTAATCATAAGGTGATGAGTATTTATACTCGTGTTGTCAAGCAGTTTCTATTTATGACACTTGGTTTTCGTCTGATTTTGTTTCCACAGGACATTTGGGCTTCCAGGACAGTTTTGTCACATCAGGTGTTTTCAGTGTGACCGAGCTAGTAAGAGTGTCACAAAGTAAGTATAGTTTTGCTCTGATTTGGTCCAAATTTGCCTTCAATTTGTGTTTCCCCTCTTGGGCATTAACACTTTCAGAAAATCCTTTATTGGTCTTCTCCTTAGAGGAACTATCCCACTGAGTTTGTTTAAAAGGCAGTATTTTTAAACTAGGAATAATTAAGTATTTTAATGTGAGACAATTGTGGTGAGGACCAATGGACCAATACTGAATGTCTCCCATAGGCCTGGGTACATAGTGTGGACTTGACTTTAAAAGATCCTGAATCTTCCCTCTGATTTCTAAGGAATTCTGCATTTAAGAGAATTTGTTTCTGACCTTTAAGCAATGCTAATGGTCTCAGTTTGAGTGGCACATTACAGTGTGGTCATTACCAACTTGTCGATAACAACTACAGCAATGACGGAAGAGTACGTGCCACCACCCAGTTCTGTTGATCAAAGGCCCATTGATTGTATGTTTGTTATGGCTTAATAGTCTAAGAAGCATGGAAGTCTGTCTGTCTTTGACTCTCGGTCTCTTCTTTCCCCACCTCAGATGTACAGTTGCCCTCCCTCCAAAACATCTCTGTTTTAAAAGCATTCCTAAAGTGACTATCTGCTCTCTGTCTCAATTTAAAAGTGAAATTACAAGGGAACCCAAAGAAACAACTAAGCTGGGCTCATAGAAACTCAGAGTCTGAAACAACGGCCAGGGAGCCTGCATGTCACCAACCCAGGCCCTCTACATATGCGTGACAGTTGTGTAGTTTGGTCTACTTGTGGGACCCCTAGCAGTGGGAGCAGGGGCTGTCCCTAATGCTTTGGCTGGTTTCTGGGAACCTATTCCTCATACTGGGTTGCCTTGCCCAGCCTTAATACAAGGAGAGGAGCTTAGTCCTACCTCAATTTGATATGCCATGCTTTGTTGATACCCATGGAAGGCCTGCCCCTTCTGAACAGAAACAGGAGGAGTGGATAGGGTGGGGATGGGGAGAGGTGGGGGGATGGGAAGAAAGGAGGGAGGGGAAACTGCAGTCAAGATGTAAAATAAATGAATAAATCTAAATAACAAAAAGTGAAATTAAACATAAATATTAAAGGTTTACTCTTATATCCTCTACCTACTTCAACATACTAAAGGTAGTAAGTTTATATTGTTAAACATGACTTCCAAGTGGCATCAAGCCCTTTATGGAAGGAAACAGAGTTTGTAGCCCCTGATGTATGTGTTATAGACTTGCAAGGATGCCCAGGTACCAGTTGGCCCTAACAGATGCCAGAAAAGTCAAGCCAGCCTGATCTTCCAAGCCTAGATTCTTTCAGCTCTTGTTTCAGTCATCATAGGCTGGAAGAATGTTGAGGGTCCAAAAGACAAGATATGATGTGGGCCTGAAGGAAAATCCAGGAGTTCTGGAACATTTATTATTTGCTAAGTACTCTGCTAGGCCTTGGAGAAGGGTACATCATTTAATCCTTGCAAGAAACTCTAAGGTTATAGGTAATCCTTAGGATCATTTATCTAGTTGAAGTCTTTTATTCAAAGTTAAACAGTGAGTAAATGGTTCAGCTAAGCCTTGATGTAGCTACAATCTATACTCTGAGACTAATTCAGGGGGTTTGAGAAACTTTTCTGTTTGAGACCAGGAATTGAGTAATGGAAAGGCAACTGTGCATGCTAGAATTCTAGCAATCAGAGAGGCTGCCATTGGTGGTGAGGTACTTCTGGAGTCCTCAAGGGGAGGCAGTAGAAGGAGCAGGTAGATGCAATGGAGATCCTGTGGCTATATTATGAAAAGTGTACAAAGTACCAGTTGAGTGGGAGCTAGATGGCTTTGTTGAATAGGAAGACATGTGCATGGTTGATTAGCCAGTCTATGATTTGGCAATAGACAGATAACAATGCACATATATTAAAAGTGGTCAATATTCTACATTTTCTTATATTCTTACTAATAATAGCATACAAAGAGTATGTTTCATCAGAATGTATCAGTCATAGCAGCATTAGAGGGAAGTATATTATTGAGATCTAAGCATAGCCTTGATTTAAAAAAAATCCTTTTTACTCTAATATTAGAGCTCTAGTCCGTTTCATTCTGCCTTGGCTGCTCAAATCTTGCATTAGTCTTCATTACCAGCAGAGTTCCAAGGTCTGGGGGTTGTAAGAGGCCAGACAGCTCAGAAACATCCCTGGCATCTCGCCCTTACTCCCTTCCCTTATTTTCCTTTCAGGTCTTATAGCCAAGATTGATTAGCCCTCCACTCAGTCTAAGGCAGCATGATTGCCAAGTGAATTCTACATGTTCCTTCAAGACTGCCAGAGGGGATGCCTGCCCTTGGGGCTAAGTTTGCAGAATGTCTTGGATTGTTTCCTGTGCCTGTGTAGGGGGCTGGTTAGCAAAGGCCAGGCATTGTGAGCATCCTTCAGCTTCTCATTGCTTTCTGATTCTGCACACTGCTGTGTAATCGCTCCAGGACTCACTCACACATGGCCTTGTGCTGACTGCAACTGTTTGGCAAGAGTAGACTGGGCCACATCAGCTAAACCATGGCTTCAGGCCAAACTGGTCAACTGTATGCCAAAGACCCTCTCTTCTTTATAGATCTTTAATCTAGGTTCATCAAGATTTATTTTATAGATCCCCTTGGCCCCTGCAAGAGGGGTTCCCAAGCCCTGTTTCTCAACCTGAACACCCTTCTCAAAGGCATATGCCATAGTTAGGTTTCTATTCCTGTGATCAACACTGATCAAAAGACACTTAAGAGAAGGAAGTGTTTATTTGCTTGCAGATCACACTTCATCATCAAAGGAAGTCAAAGCAGGAACCTGGAAGCAGGAACTGAAGCAGAGACCACAGAGGGATGCTGCTTACTGGCTTGCTCCACCTGCTTTGCTTTCTTAGACAATCCGGGAATACTTGCCCATGAGTGATACCTCTCACAGTGGGCTTGGCCCACCCACATCAATCATTAATGGATAAAATGCCCCATAGACATGCCCACAGACCCATCTAATAGTTCCTCAATTAGACCTAGTTTGTGTCAGTTTAACGAAACTACCTAGCAGAGCATACTATCCAAGCTGCATAAAGAAAGGGAATCCTTGTCCATTCCTTAGAAATGTGTTGCCTCTTCTCTTCCTGTACCCACATGGGGAGAGCTGAGCCCCTGTTTTAGGAATGCAGGGGAATTTTTGCAGATAAGTGGGAATGAGGATCATTCTTCATCCTTGACATAGAAATAAGCTAACTGGCAGTGTTAGCCAGGATGATAGCCCTGCATTGTTCAATTTAAATATGAAAAATTATTTGACTGAGATTTTTCCAAGTACATACCTTGTATTTGGGACTAGACATGTGGGCACTGCTATACTTGGTGCATCTGTAGCTGGATTGTGGTACTCAAAGACACTGAGCATCTTGCTTCTGCAAGCCTTTGTTGTGATTGCTTCTATAACTCCATCATAAAGTAAAATAGACCAAAGGATTCTGGGCTTTGATTGATTAATCATTTCTTGAGGTGATATATCTTTACTGCATTTTTAAAGGATTACTATAATGCAAAATTGAATAACTAAAGTACACAATTATATTTTCCCTAGATCCATTTTCAGTATGATTTGCTTTCAATGAGTAGACATCACATTTTTAGTTCTGGTGGTGCTGTATATTGAACCAAGAGTCTCAACATGCTAGATAAGTCCCATATAAATTATGATATGACCAGTCCTAGGGGAAAAACATACATTAGAGCAGTTTTAGGTTTATAATTTTCAGTTAGCAAAACAGAGTCCCTTATGTCCCATTTCTAACCATTTCCCCCGTTATTAATGACTTTGGGTAGTTTGATACAATTCTTCCTATAGGTGAGCCAATATTGACACACAATTATTAACTGAAGTCTAGAGTTTACATTAGGGTTTCAGCTTGTGCTTTTGTTCCTGTTATACATTCTAAGTGTCTCCACAAGGCTGTAACAGCATGTGTCTACAATTATGTATCACATAGGATCATCTCACTGCCCTAAGAGCACTGTCCCCCACCTATCCACACTCCACACACCTCTTTGATCACTTTGTTGTTTTGTGTCTCATGTGGTGTGGGTATTTTACTGGTTCCCATGTCAGAGTTCCCTCTGAATTTCTTCTTTGGTGATCCAGCCTGACCTGCTTTTTTTTTTTCTTCATCGCAGTCACAGCTAGTTGTGACCACACACAGTATGAACATTGTGTATTACTCAGAAATGGTCCTCTTTCGTTGAAGGGTTTCTCTGTCCAGATACCTTGTGTTAACCTTCTAAATTTGATCATGAAAATATTTACTTCCCCCAGGATTCTAGTGAGGCTTTAACTGGAGTAGTTAAATGGCTAGTGCTATTTCAGTATTTGCAAAGGAAAAGTCACTGCAATAACGATATGCTGATTTTGTTGTTTGGGATAGTGCCACCTACAAGGTGGCAATGATAGAGAAACTCAGCCTCACAAATTCCTAGGTGAGAGTTAGACTAGACAGCCAGACTGCTCGACAATAAATGCCTGGATCAGAGGCAAGGAACTGCTGGCCCATAGGAGCTGCAGTCACCCATGAACTCCCTCACCCTTGTCTCCTGCCCACACCCTTTAATTTTTGTCATTATCATCTAATGTTTGTGAACTATAGCACAGGAAGTACTGTAGCTGAAAGTATGGATTTGTTCTGTTGCCTGTCTCCACACGTGGCAGAACCATCTGAAAGCACTTCTCGTTATTTATTACCTTGTTCCACAAGAGGGAGAAAACACAGACCACTGCACGCTGGGCCAGAGAAAAGGAAGAATTCAGTACAGGGCAGAGGCTCCTGGGAGCGACCATGGTTCCGAATCACTGAAGTTGTTTTAGCATAATCCCATGAAGGAGGAGACAGGAGCCATCTGTTGAGATGGCTCTTTATTACACAAAGCCCTCTACAGGCATTTTCAGATAGGCCCCTCCCATGAGCTGCCATGGAGAGCCCATTCTGCTGGCTGCTGAACGAATGTCG